TTTGTCCTGGAGAGGGTGAAGCCAGGATATTCCCTGGAGTAAAGGATTCTGAAGCTTCATCTGACAAACTTTGGGCATGTTGCAAGAAGGGACTGATCTTGGAGAGGGACATCATGTTTGGGAGAGTGGAGGGACGGTGCAGGAGAGGAAGACCCTCGATGAGATGAATTGATTCTGTGAGTGGAGTGGTGGGAATGAATGTGTTTGAGACAGCGAGGTTGGCACAGGATAGAACGGCCTTTAGGACTCTTGTACATGGGGTCGCTCTGAGTCACAAATGACTCGATGGCACATAACAACAACAACAACTTTTTTTAAAATAACAAAAACATCTTTATTAAAGTAATATAACAAAATAAATAAGGCAAAAACAGACACTGGATAGAACATACAGGTTAAAGGCACAAAATGTTATTTAAATGCCACCTTTTAAAATAATTAATATGAATGCTCAGGTAGTCAGCAATCTTTACATAAGAAATTACTTGTTAAAAGTATAATACCGTCTGTATAGTCATTCTTTTAAGTTACATTTTTATTTTATTTTTATTATTGGTTTACTTACGTAGTTTGTATACATTGTTTTTCACACCAGATCAATTATACTATTTTTAAAAGTTTTTATTGTATGATTGAAGGACTTTGTACATGAAGAGACCCTTCTCTTAACTTTTTTCATGGATGTATGTTTGTTTTCCAGGTACCAAAGACATTGGGATTAATAAGGAAGTTAAGTGTCAAGTTCTACAGTCGCCACAGCCAAGAGCAGGTAACACCAATTGGCTTGGCTTTGTCCTTCTCAGACATTTTCCTCAGAAAACCCTAATTGCAAAGTTGAATGAATCGTTAACACTTTGGTTCTTTTTTTCTCTGCGCACATTAATAATATTCAATGTACCTGAAAGGCTGGAATTCTGAGTCTACTAATACTTTTCTTCATGGAGCTTGCAGTATAGTGGTGGAAGGAGAGAGAGAGAGCAGTTACAACAGTTTAATATTATACATTTTGTAATTTACAGTGTAATACTAAGTAACATTGACGTGAAGAAGTAGTGTTTATTGTATAGGTGGTATTTTATTTGATTCATGAAGTAATAGTTCACCAGTCAAAAAGGGGAAAGGAGGGCATTTCGAATATGTGCAAAGTCATGTAAGTGTCAAGAGATAAAAAAAAAAATTGTAAAGAGACGCTTTTGAAAGGACTGCACTTGTAGAATCCATACTGTCTGTGTTTTGTGGTAGCTATCTTTAATTGAAACACTGTAGTTGTAGTAATATTTGAAATTATAAATACTTTGGAGACTTAGGAGTTAGGACGCTTCCCCCACCACCCCAATTAAACTTCTCTTTAGGGGATTTTGGTGGCCTAATAGTAAAGATCTGTGCTGCTCATCCAAAGGCACCTATTTTAATCCACCAGCAGCTCCATGAGAGAAAGCTTGGCAGTCTCCTTTAATGCATTTTTTAGCCACTGAAAACCACCTGAGCGTCAGCTTTGAGTTGGTTCCCACGTGACTATACCTAGCAATGACAATCTTGCTGATAATAGATCCTGTATGTATTGGTTGACTTTGTTCATTGATAAATAAACACAACTGTCAATCAGAATAAGAAAAAAACATTTCTCTCTTTGTTCTGACCTTCCAGGGACTTAAAATTGTTGTTTACTTTAATTCCTGCTTATTGTTAATTTTTTTCCCTGTGGAATTCAGCTAATTCTTATTCTTACCAGTATACTCTGTTCTGTGAATGAGAGAGAACAAGCCACTGATTTCCTTGTACTTTTAGACTGTCTTATGACACAGAGAACCAGCATCCTTAACTGTTTGGATTTATGACAAAAAATATCTTCCTAACCTTGATATTCTGAACTAATGACTTAAAGTGCATATCTGAATGTTACGCTTGTATGTAATTTTTATCTAGAGGTTTGAGCTGAGAAATAATTGTGATTCTTAGTGTCGTGATTTTACAACTGAGAAGATTTACAGAAGTTACCTAAGAATATATTATTAATGAAGACACTTTCTAGCTTGCCACTATTTCAACCCTGAGATCACTGTAAGCTTTTTCGACTAGCATTATGATCCCTGCTTTATTAATGAAGTCATTAAACCCTCTAGAGAAATGGCCTACACAAACTCACTTCCCGCATAGCATCAGAGATGAATTTGGTCTTGAGTTAGTTTTGTTCTGTTCCCTTTTAACCTATCATATTCTTTTGTATCTCATGTAAATCCTTAGTAGGACAAATATAGAAACAGAAGCCAAGATGTACTACATTTATAGCCCAGGTAGTAATTATTTATTAAAATGTGTTTTTCTAAGTAAGTTTGAAGCAGTTAGGCTTTTAAAATGTGTTCTCTGAAGTACTGATATTTGTAGAAAGGAATTTTCTTTCCTGTATAGTAATCATATGGTTCATATGTATTCATTCTGTTCTTCAGTTGTCAAACTTTAAAGTATCAACACTCCTCAGAGAGGATTTGAGGTAATATGCACAATACCTAGGTCAGTAATTACTATGCTTGGAAAAATCAGTGGTAGTTGTGTTGGTGTTTATAAATTTATTCATTTCTTTGTAGCCATTATTGCAGTTCTAATAAATAGTAGTCTCTATTATTTTTTTAATTGTACAGATTGAATACTGGCTGTCTGGCTTACATTATCTTTTGAAAGATGATAGTAAGAATAAGAATTGTCTCTGCTCTTTTATAGAGATTATTGGCATGGGGAACAAATGAAGGACTTTCCCCCCTAATTCCAATATTCTAAAAGTCTTAATATTTTTCACTGGTTTTTCTAAGCTTTTGAGAATGACTGTCTCAATTTGAAACATAGATTTCAGTGGTAGATTGTTGGTGGATATTTTTTTAAATCAAACATCTAAACAACAACAGCAGGCCATGCTGTCTAATAATCTTGAGTATAGGGATTCATGTTTGTTTTGTTTTCTAGTTATGCCTCAGAATTCTATATAGGGTTGGCACATAGTATGTATTATGTAGAAGTTAATCAGTACTTGTTGAATGTTAGAAGAGCAATGTTTACAGATTCAACTTTTTTTTTAACTTAACAGTATAGAATTTGATATTATCATTTTATCTAGTATTTTTTTTTCTCTACTTGCTGGAAAGTCAGTGGCTCGATGGCACCCACTGCTCTACAAGAGGAAGGCAGTTTCCTCTGTTACAGCTAAAGGAGACAGTGGGGGAAGCTGATGAAGGGGCACCATGTCACATAGACTCAGCACTGGGTTTCGAGTTCAGTTTGGTACATTTGAAAAGTACTTGAGTTGGTTAGTCACTAGTTTTTAATTGTTATGCAAAGGTCATAGACAGTTGAAGTAAATGAGGTAATTTTAGCTAATCTTAGTGTGAATGTTTGATACTTAGTAGTTGAAAATATTGGAAAGAAAGGTAAGAAGTTACATTGCAGTGTTTCAAATAAAGTATATTTCCTATTGTAAATGTGGCTGCCAGTAGTAAAAGACTTTGAATCAGTGGGTTTTTTTTTTATTAAGAAAAGATCAAGTAGATATTTCAGCTAGTAGTTTAATATAAATGAGAAGTAGAAATGAAAGGTAAAATCATTTACTTTCTACTTTTGATAGTATTACATCACTGCACAAAAAGATTAAATGAAGTGAAAGGAGAAGATCTTAAAAGGGAAAAGATTTGAGACAAGAAGGGACATAGATTTGTGAATACAAAGTCGATTAAAATGGTTATAAATGAAATAGGAGACAATGGTACTTTTAATGTTGGTTACATAAAAAATTCTTCATAAATCACCTTTTCTCATGCTATCACTCCCTATGCAATGATGCTAACTTATTAAGACATCTTTTTTATGTAATTACCTCTTTAAAGCATAGTGTAGACAGATCTAAGTAGTACTCAGTAATTTCTTTTAAGTCATACTTCATTATTACATATTATTTTCTGTTTATATTTTCATAATGTTAATTATTTTCAGCTAAGAAATAAATTACTGCTTTCTTGTAAAAAACAAAAACCAAAAAAACAAACCCACAAACAAAATAACAAACCAAAACAAAATATCCAAATGAAAATAATCCACTGCTACTGAGTTGGTTTTGACTCATCGAGACCATCCATTGGGTTTCTTTGACTGTGAATCTCTAAGAGAACTCTGGTGCCAAAGTCCATAGGTGTTGCATTGTTCAACAAAGGCTGCTGTGTCTGGAAGTTTCAATAGCAGCAGCTCTCAGAGAGAAAAAGATGATCACTCCCATCCCATGCAAGATAAAGCCTTGGGCACCCAGGGGATATTCACATAGGAGGCTATTCCAACTCTCCAACAGTCTGGACAGAAGTAGATTGCTATCTTTCCCCCATAAAACAGGTGTACCAGATACTGTTTTTATATATTTTTTATTATCTTATTAAATATCCTATTAGTCCTATAAGTATTAGTAGTTTTATCCCAGTTTTATGGATTAGAAAGACATTAGAAAAGTTAATGAGACTAGATAGAAGATGATGTACCTAGAGTCAAACCTTGATATATTTGATTTTCATGTCCATCACCTCTTGTCTTTCACTTTCTCCTCTTGTGGTAGTTGGCATGGTGGTGTGAAGCTGGAAGTTGTAGTGATGCTGAAGCTGTTGTGATACTAGAAGTTAGGCCCCCTAGTATTTAAAGTATCATCAAGGTGGCTACAGTGACTTTTCCAAACGAAAGTAGGATAAGACATAGGACTGGACATATACTTTGGACGTAATTAGCCCGTGAAAGCCTTAAAGCCTTATGAGGAGCAATGTGTAAAGCATGATCTAATACAAAGTTGGAAGATGAGCCTCTCAGGTTGGAAGGCACTCAGAATGTGAATGTGAAGAACATTCTCCTCAAAGTAGATAGAGTCTGGAATGGTTTGAATGGAGTAAAGCTCTCACCCAGTGAAGGATCTTCATTTGCTGATGTGGCACAATTCAGACTAAGGAAGAACAACTGCCAGGACCCATAAATAATTGGAACATGGAATGTACAAAGTATGGATCTAGGAAAACTTGACGCTTTAAAAAATGAAAGCAAACACGTAAAGATCAATATCTCAGGCATTAACAGCTTAAATGAAAAGGTATTGGCCAATCAGCTATAATATGGTTAGTATGCCAACAATAATAAAAAGAATATTTCAAGATCTATTATGAATTGCTTTCTTGTGAGTGATAGCATAATATTTCTATGCATACTTGGAATATTTGTGATCTAGATTTACACACTATCCACTAAAGATAAAATTGAAGAGATTGAAGATGTCTGCCAACTTCATAAATTGATTAAGCATGTAATCAGGATGTACTAATAACTGGTGATTGTAATACAGAAGTGGGAAACAAGTTAGATTGGTGGTTGGAAATATGGCCTTGGAATTTTGTGTGACCAACAACTTAATAATTGCAAATACCTTTTAAAAATAATACAATGGTGGTTATATACTTGGGCAGTCACTTAGCTGGATCTTTAGCGGCCCTGGACCTCTACTCTGTGTCTCATGCTAGGAAAATGGAAGGTCAGTGAAGGAAAGGAAACCCCCTCTCCCATGAGGTGAAGTGACACAGTGATTGCAGCAGTGGGTTCAAGTGTACCAGAGATGATGAGGATGGCACAGAATAGGACAGGGTTCAGGTCTGTTCATCGAGTCACTGTGAGTCATACCTCAACAGCATCTAACAACATACACTTGCACCTTATCCTGTGGAAGGCTCAGAAATCAACTACATCTGTGGAAAGAGATAACGGAGAAGGTCATTATCGTTAGAACAAGTCTAGTGGCCAACTGGAGAACATTTAATTATTAATGCAAGTTTAAATTGAAGTGAAGAAAATGTAAACAGATCCATAAGAACCAAAATACAACCATGAATATAACCCAACTGAATTTGGAGACCGTGTTAAGAGGATAGAAGGAGAATTGATGCCTTTGAGCTGTGGTGCTGGAGAATAGTATTGAGGGTACCATGGACTGCTGGGAAAACAAACAGATTCATCCTGGAAAGGGTCAAACTGGCCTTCTCCTTGGAGGCAAGGGTTCTAAGGCTCTGTCTAACATACTTTGGACATGTTGCAAGGAGGGACAAGTCCTTGGAGAGGGACATCATGCTTGGTAGGGTGGAGAGACAGTGCAGAAAGGGAAGGCCCCCTATGAGGTGGATTGATTCAGTGACTGGGGTAATCAGGATGGGTGTGTCGGAGACGGTGCGATTGGCACAGGACAGAGCAGAGTTTAGGGCTATTGTACATAGGGTCGCTGTGAGTCACAAGCGACTCGATGGCACATAACAACAACAACAACAACCATGTAGCACATATAGTCATCGTGAACTGTCAAAAAAACAAACCAGCCTCAAACAACTCAAACTCATTGCTTTTGATTTAGAACCACCTTACTACTTGCTGATCCTCCAGCCTGCTGACCCACCAAGACCATGTGCCTTTTGGTTAACAGCACATCTCTTTACCACTAGATCACCGGCTTGCTTAAAAAAAGCATTGTCCCTCTTTTCTCTTGGGCTTGGATCAGGCGACAGCAAGGTTTTATCGCTCAGCCATGGCCAAAATCAAGACTCGGGACCTTCGCGGAAAGAAGAAGGAGGAAGTGTTAAAACAGCTGGACGATCTGAAGGTGGAGCTTTCCCAGCTGCGCGTCGCCAAAGTGACAGGCGGTGCGGCTTCTAAGCTCTTCAAAATCCGAGTTGTCCGAAAATCCATTGCCCGTGTTCTCACTGTTATTAACCAGACTCAGAAGGAGAACCTCAGAAAATACTATAAGGGCAAGAAGTACAAACCCCTGGATCTGCGGCCCAAGAAAACACGTGCCATGCGCCGGAGGCTCAACAAGCATGAAGAGAATCTGAAGACCAAGAAGCAGCAGCGAAAAGAGCGCCTGTACCCATTGCGGAAATATGCAGTCAAGGCCTGAACTTAAATAAATAAAACACAAAACTAAAAAAAAAAAAAAAAAAAAAAGCACTGTCCCAAATTCCAAGAAATTCTAGTCAAGATCAACCTATAAAAGGTATCAAAATCTAGTGGTAATGGATGTAGGACAAGAAAATATTTTTGTAATGCTCAAGTGTTTGTGTTTTTGGTTATATGTAATTTATACCACTATAAAGCAATGCTTTTTAATTTATAGCTCTATAAAACTCCTTACGAGTACTGTTTGCATATGCTGGAGTGAATTTATACTGTTGTAAAGTAGTTGGACCTCTTAATTGTGAAAAATCCAGTATGACATGGCACCCTTAAATACATTTACACATTTCTGGAAGTTCTTTCTCTTAGGCTTCAAGTCCCTCGCTCTGACCTTGTTGTAATATGATTGTTGTTCAGGATGGGATTTTTAAGATGAGCCTTTCTCCAGACGGGACTCTCCTTGCAGCTATTCACTTCTCAGGGAAGTTAAGCATCTGGGCCATTCCGTCTTTGAAGCAGCAAGGAGAGTGGGACCAAGATGAGCAGGTATGTCTTCTGGTTAAGATCTTCCTTAGAGTGGTATCTTTTTAAGGGTAAGGGATCAACAATTCTAATTTTGTTTTATTGGTAATTCACTGTATTACACAGCTATTTATGCTTCTCATTTCAAAGTTGTCTTGTTTAATTAAAGTATAATATAAATGCAGTAGGACATGTTGTAGGGAGTTCTGGTGACCTAGTGGTAAGAAGCTGCACTTCAATCCCAAAGGTACATGATTCTTATCCACCAGCTGCTTTCAGGGAAGAAGAATGACAGTTTCCTTTTTTGTGCTATTTACTGCCTCTCAAAACCTGCTGATGGGTCAACTGTGAGTTGATTCTGACTTGATAGAACAGCAACAACAGGCTAAATTAAGAATTAAATATCACTGTGTATGAAGTTAAACATGTAGTATAGTCCACTCTGTATATTGAATGAAATCTGTCCATGCATTTTTCTTTTTATTTTGTTTGGTAATTCTACAGGTTCACAGTATTGATATTATTATTATTTTTTAGCCAAGTTAATTAATCAGATAGAAAAGTTGGAGGAATTCCTTTGTTAAGTAAAATCAGCATTCTAAAAGAGTTAATGATTCTTCCTAAAACTTGCAGTATGTTTAATATGGCAGATTGATTCATATGCCTTGAAGGGAGTTATCTTTCCTTTACTTCAAGGTGTGTAACTAAGATAAAGATAACAATAGAATTGTTAATTTTTTAGTGTCTTGGGATTACAGATTTTAAGGGTCAAATGCCTTCACTGTTTATAACAGATACAATCAATATCTACTATAATTTAAAATCACAATGGGAAAATAAGGCTTTGTCATTTAATGCCATGAATTGTGACAGAGTAAAGGTTTTTTTACAAAAGAAAAATCTATCTTCAATTGCATATGTTATAAATGAAGAATATTTTGCATTTTAGTACTTGAAGGATTAATTATTTTCACATCCTGTCCTCTTTTATTGTAGGCAAGTCTTGTCACCAGTTTGGTATATTGCTTTATATTTTGCTTTGTTTTGAATATGGAGGTGTATTTCTTCATCTCTGTGGAACAATGACTTCCCCCCCCCCAGAATTGTTTAAGAATGTCACTTCATACATAAACTGAGATCTTAAAAGAATTATTAATAAACAATTCCCCATTTAAAAAAATCAGAAAAGAAGAGAAACTGGGTCATTGTTTCCTTATTCTGTTCATCAACTTGAATTCTTTTGGCTATTTTTTTGTCTGTTAGTTTATCCACAGGCTTTGGAGGCTTTCGCTAGCTATTCACTTCCCAAACATTCACTTTCAACATAATGTGGGGTCCAGATCTCTACCACTCTTTCAGAGTTATTTGATCTAGATTTGTTCTAACTGGAATTATAACTAAGTTGATTATTCTCCCTAGGCATGGATCACTTAAAAAATGTTTGAAATAATAATGTACTACACATGCCTGGTATAGGCAGTAGAACTTTTACCAGTCTGATGATCTGAACATAGATAAGTTTAATTGCTATGCATTTCATAGTACTTTGAATCTTAATATTGTTTGTTAGTACATTAAAACATAAAGACATTGTTCAGATTTTTTTTGGTCCAGAAGCTATTGTGCATGTTTCACGACTATCTCCATGTAGTTAAAAAGCATTCTGCTTCCATTTTTTTGGAAAATCTTGATATTTTTACCCTCTGTGGGAACTTTTACTTTTGGGAAAAATGTTTTTTTTTAATAATAAAATCTTTTAATATGAAAGTATTTTCTTCCCTGACTTTCTCTTTTCTTAAAGTATTGTCATTCATGTTATAGAAGTATTGATCAGCTTCTAAAGCACAATAATAATTCACTTTGTGAGTATCCTGGCATGCTGTACGTGCAGCATCAGGGCTATTCACAGCAACGTTGATTAATAGGCTCTTTTGTTTATTATTGTAATACTGGGTATTCTTTTTTTGCCTACAGAGAGAAATTGCATCTGTTGTAGTCCTTATTGGCATATGCTCAACTTTTTGACTGGGTCGGAGCTTTCTGTGTGTGAGCTCATGAGTGGGATTAGTTGCTAGTAAATGCTCTTATAATTCATTAGTCTTTGCTCATTAATCTTAATTTATTTTCTTTTTTTAATAATTTTTTATTTTTATTTTTATTTTTTTACAGAGGTTTTGGATTTCCATTCATTCATCTTAATTTTTATAGTGCTTCTATTAAAAATAAAACAAACAAAACTTTAAATTTTCTTTTAAAACATACTTCAGAACTTGGATATGATTACATATATATGTATGTCAGTAATTTAAAAAAATATAATCAGAACAGTAAGGGGATAGATAGGAAGGGAGTCAAAGATGGGAAAAGAAGTACATGGCAGGAGAATATGAATTCAGACCAGGAATTTGTTTCTAACATCTTCTCATCAGAGTCTTTTGAACATAAATACTCTTAAGAACTTGCCAAAGCATGCTAATTTAAAGAAAAAAGAAATCCTTAGAACATTTGGCTTTTAAGAGAAGAAATACAACTTGATTCTCAAACTCCATCTATCTTTTATTACAAATTAGTGGTAGGGAGTTGTGCTGCTGACTCATGGGCAGTCAGTTTGAATCCAAAAGCTTCTTCATGGGAGAAAGGTGAACAGTCTCCTCTTGCATGACTTACTGCTAAGAAAAGCCCATTGGAGGATCAGCTATGTATTGGTTCTGACTCGACAGTGCTTAACAGCAACAACCAACTTGTTTTAAAGACCTTATTTCTTTCCCTTTCTTCTGATTTGTTTGGTATAAATGATGTCCTATGAATGTTTCTCCCTTGCTCCACCCCACCGGTTTAGGCTCCGCCTTGGGGCTTGTTACCTGGAGGCGTGTCAGAAGCTATTGTGGGAGTCCTCTGTGTTGCCTGGTCT